AACTAGATGTTGGACTTAACAACGGCTTTCAAAGTTGCCACTGTAAACATGTTCAAAGAACTAAAGGAAACGTGGTTAAAGAAGTAAGGTCTGATGACAATGTCACATCGAATACAGAATATCAATAAAGAGAAATTATTTTTAAAAAACAAGTGGGAATTCCGGAGTTGAAAAATACAATAATTGAAATGAAAACTTCATTAGAGGGGCTCAACAGTAGATTGGAACCGGCAGAAAAAAAAATTAGTAAACTTGACAATAGATCAATAGAAATTATGCAATCAGAAAACAGAGAGAAAAAAGAATTTTTGAAAGAATGAACAGAGTCTTAGGATTGTGTGACACTCTAAAGCACACCAACATACATGTAAGGAGATTGCCAGAGAGAGAAGAAAAAGGAGCAGAAAAATATTGGAAGAAATAATGGCTGGAAGCTTCCCAAATTTATTGAAAAGCCATAGAACAAAGAACTCCAAGTAGAATAAATGCAAAAGAGATCCACATATAAACACATCACAGTAAAATTGCTGAAAGCCAAACACAAGGAGAAAATCTTCAAAGCAGCAAGAGAAAAACAATTCATCATTTAAAGGGGACACTGGGACTTCCCTGGTGGTTCAGTGGTTAGGATTCCAAGCTTCCATTGCAGGGGGCACGGGTTTGATCCCTGGTTGGGGAACTAAGATGCGGTGTGGCCCAAAAAAAGTTAACCTCAATGAGATTAACAGCAGGTTTCTCAGCAGAAACAATGGAAGGCAGGAGGCAGAGTAATAACATATTCAAAAGGGTCAAACAGGCTTCCCTGGTGGTGCAGTGGTTAAGAATCCGCCTGCCAATGCAGGGGACACGGGTTCAAGCCCTGGTCCGGGAGGATCCCACATGCCGCAGAGCAACTGGGCCTGTGCGTCACAACTACTGAGCCTGCGCTCTAGAGCCCACGAGCCCCAACTACTGAGCCTGCAAGCCACAACTACTGAGCCCAAGTGCCACAGCTATTGAGACCCGTGCGCCTAGAGCCCGTGCTCCGCAACGGCAGAGGCCACCACGGTGAGAAGCCTGCGCACTGCAATGAAGAGTAGCCCCCCTTCACCACAACTAGAGAAAGCCTGTGCGCAGCAACGAAGACCCAACACAGCCAAAAATAAAATAAACAAATTAAAAAAAAAAAGGGTCAAATAAAAACCTGTCAACCAATAATAGTATATCTAAAAAGTTATCTTTCAAAAATGAAGATGAAATAAAGAAACTTCCAGATAAACAAGAACTGAGAATTTGCTGCTGGCAGTCCCACCCTACAAGAAATACTAAAGGAAGTTCTTTAGGCTAAGAGAAGGTGACCACAGACAGTAATCTGAATCAACACATAAAAACAAACAGCACTGGTAATTAGGTAATTACAAAAGACAGCATAAATGCATTTTTGTTTTTTCTCTTAAGAGATTTAAAAAACAATTGTATATATTCATACAATCGAATATTATTCCTCCATAGAAAGAAATGAAGTACTGATACATACTACAATGTGAATCAACCTCTAAAACAAGTAAAAGAAGACAGATACAACTGGTCACATAATATATTATTCCATATAGATAAAATATCCAAAATAGATGAATCCATAGCAACAGGATGCTGACTGGTGGTTGCCAGGGGCTGGGTGGATAGGGGAATGGGGACAAACAGCTTATTGGGGACAGGTTTTATTCTGGAGTGATGAAAATATTTGGGACTAGACAGAGGTAGTAGTTGTACAAAATTGAGAATGTACTATAAAATTGAAAAAAAAAAATACAATGATTGCCGAGAAAAGACAAATCCATAGGGAAAGAAAGTATATTAATGGTCACTTGGGACCAGGGGTGGGAATGGCGAGTGACTGCCAGTGGGCATGAGGAGATATCACAGGGGTGATGAAAATGCTCTGAAACTGGCTTATGCTGATGGTTCACAATTATGTAAATTTGCTAAGAATCACTGAAGTGTGCACTTAAAATGGGTGACTTTATGATATGCAAATTATACCTCAATAAAGTTGTTTTTAAGATGCACACATGAAAAAAGCAATTGTATAAAACAATACATTTTATGTATATAAATAATAAAATGTATTGTTGGGTCTATAACATATAGAATAGAAATGTAACATATTTGCTCACAGCAGTACAAAGGAGGTGGGTAGAAGCAAGGCTGTACTGAGCTAAAGAAATTACTCCAGATGGTAACTTGGATCCACAAAAACAAGAAATAAAGAGAACCAGAAATGATAAATAAGAAGGTCATGCATAATAAAAGCTATACAGTCGACCCTTGAGCAATGTGGTGTTTAGGGCACTGACCCCCCTCGCAGTTGAAAACGTGTTATAACTTTACAGTTTGCCCTCCATATCCAAGGTTCTGCATCCATGAATTCAACCAAGCACGGATCATGTAGTACTGTAGTATTTATTGAAAACAATCCACGTATAAGTGGATCCACAGTGTTGTTCAAGGGTCAACTGTAAATATGTATTGCTTTCCTTTCTTCTCTCAGTTTCCTTAAAAGATATAAAGTAATCATCATAACAATGTACTGTTGGGTTTGTAACATTTATAGATACAATATATATATAATAATTATACCACAAAAAATAGGCAAATAGAACAAACCTATACTGGAGTAAGGTTTTTAACCTCATTGGAATTACGTTAGTACAAATTTGGAGCTAATTCTGGTAAGTTAAGATGTATGTGGTAAGCCCTAGAGCAACCACAAAGGAAATAACTAAAATAGTGGGGAAAAAATCACTTAGAGATTAAACTGCTACATTAGAAAATATTCACTTGATTCAAAAGAAAACAGTAAAGGAGGGACAAAGGAACAATAAGACATGAGACATACAGAAAAATAAAATCATAGACATAAATCCAACTATGTCAATAACATTGAATGTGAGTGGATTAAACAAGCTCTAATCAAAACGCAGAGATTAGAATAGATTTTAAAAAACAAGACCCAACTACATGCTGTCTACAGAGATATACTTGATTTCATAGTAAAAATCATGCAAGCAGCAACCACACAAAGTGGGAATGACTGTGCTAATGTCAGACAAAATACTACAGAAAAAGAGGGACATTTTGTAATGATAAAAGTGTCAATCCAATAGGATATAATGTTTATAAACATGCGTGAACCTAATAACAAAGAACCAAAATACATGTAGCAAAAACTGACAGAAATGAAGGGGAAAATGGACAACAATAATTGAAGTCTTTAAGACCCCACTTACAATTAGACATCTAATAGACTCTGAAATCATAATATGACTGAAACAGAACTCTTCATTTGCCCCCAATCCCCACCAATTAAATCTGCTCTAAGTGGCAATTGCATTATATCTGCTCAAGCCAAAATGCCTTTAAGTCACCGTCTCTCACACCCCACATCCAATCGATCAGTGAATTCTACAGCTTGTCCTTTCAAAATATATCCAGAATCCAACCACTTTTTCCCACTTTCACCCTGTTCTAAGCCACCACCTCCACTCACCAGGATTACTGAGTTACACTCCTAACTGGATTCCACCTTTCCTCCCCAGGTCCCCGGCTGTCTAGCTCCTTGGAGCAGCCAAGAAAACATTCTAAAATAAATTATGCCATTCTTCAACCCTGCACTTACTCTGTCCAATAAATTTTAAGTGAAATCCAAATCCTACAAACTCCCTTTCCAGCTTTACTTCCTACTCCTGTAATCACTGCACTCTCTCCACACTGGCCTCTTCGCTATCCTTGGCCCGTTATGAGACTGCGTTCATAATGCAATTGCAGTTTTTAAAATGTCATTAATATACGAAAACAAGTATAAAAAAGTGAGAAAGGCTAGGTAGCCCTATTATAAAATGTGAATAATAATTATCTACAGGGAGTAGGATTACAATTTTCATTTTTTCTTACCGCAAAAAGTGCTTCTAATTTATGTATTATTTATGTGTTAATTACGTAATAAAATTATGAAAAGCTGTGTATAAAACCCCTTACACCCAATGTAGCAATTGTATGTAACTACATACAAAATCTGGAACTAAACAAAAAAATCAGAACAAAAGAAACAAACTAAAAAAAAAAAAAACCTTGCCTATAGAAATAGCTAGTATTTATCAATACATGCTCCAGGGACTTTCACTCATTATTTCATTTAATTCTTGTAATAATCCGACATGATGGGAACTATTACCCTCACGTTACTGAGGTGTAAAGTGAGGCTCCAAAGGTTAAACACGTGGTGAAGCCCAGGTCTTCCTGACCTGAATGGTCACGTTCTGAACACCACTGGAGTCACTGCTTCATCAGAGTCACACACAACAGAGCAACACTGACCCTACTGGACACCCAGTAACAAAGGAAAGGGCCATCGTGTAGTTACGAAGACATTTACTAAAGCTAGAATTATGTAAAAATTGATAGGCATGGGGCTTCCCTGGTGGCGCAGTGGTTGAGAGTCCGCCTGCCGATGCAGGGGACGCGGGTTCGTGCCCCGGTCCGGGAAGATCCCACATGCCACGGAGCGGCTGGGCCCGTGAGCCATGGCCGCTGAGCCTGCGCGTCCGGAGCCTGTGCCCCACAACGGGAGAGGCCACAACAGTGAGAGGCCCGCCTACCGCAAAAAAAAAAAACCAAATTGATAGGCATGTTACGTGGAAAAGCAAACTATCACATTCCATACAGGAGTACAAGAAATATTTTACGTGGAAATAGGCCCCAATAGGCCCATACATGAATTTTGGTTCAGTTTGGGTAATGGAACTCTGGATGGTTTTCGTTTCGTTTTCTTTTGCTCTCTTGTATTTTCCAGATATTCGTGAATGCATTGGAGCTGCTTTAAAACAAAGAACAAAAAACTATTTTCATGGAACAAAGGGAAAAGTTTTTGTTTTGTAATAAAGGAAAAACTCAACCCAGTGTCTTCCCAAGCAGCTACAAATCCCGTCTAGATCTAAACTGAGTCAAACCTTACGTGTTACCTAAAAGGTCGTCGACATTCTTTGAATTGACATCTGGGGAGTCTGCGTGGGCGTTTTCCTCAAAGGACTTAGGATAGCTGTTTGTTTGTCTGCTAACGAGCCACGCTATAACGAGCCTATGAAGAGCTTGGCGCGATCAAGAACTGGGTAGCTTAGAAGGTCCAAGTTTAATACATCGCTTGGCACGGGAGGAACGTCACGCTAAAGCACCGCACTATTTCGGGAAGGTGCGTCTTGCAGGAAACCACTAATACTTGGAAAACGGTAAGAAAAAGTCCAGTGTGCGAAAATGCGTGCGTGCTTGTCCCCCAAACCTTGTCCTCGGGCCGGAGAGTGTGTCCGGCATCCGGGCGCTGCGGTCCCCGAGATCCGTCAGCAGCACCGAGCAACCCTCACGGGTCCGCTCGCAGGCGCGAGGCTGGCTGGGCTCCGAAGGGCGGGGCGGGGCGGGGCGGGGCTGCAGCTCTCCTCAGCTCCGCCCACCCTTTCCCAGGCGCACGACGCAAGGACGCACGCACGCACGCACGCGCCTCCCTGGGCCGAGAAACGCGCGCTCGCCGAGGCCCCGCCCCTCCGGGGACTTCCGGTGGGCGGGGTCACCCCCTGAGCTCGCTCCCGGCGCGGGATCGACCCAGCGGCAACTACTGCGGCTGCTTTCCGGTGCAAAGGTTCCCGAACTAGGACAGGAAAAAGTAGCGAGGGTGAGAGGATGGGCTTCAAGTTTAAAAATGAAAAGTTGGGCTTAAGTTTGTCGCCTAGTAAACGTTTGCTGAATGATTAAAGTAATAAGTGGATGTTTGCTTTAACTCCGCCTTCAAAGAACCCCGTTTTTCCCAAAACTTCAACGGCAGTATAGTTCGGACTGAGTCCTTGACAAATCCTGTCCTAGTGCACCCTCCGAGAGTAGTACCGAGCGAGAGAAATGTGTTTGCCAGCATCATTTTCTGAAACTTGATTTTTACTATGCTCTTGTTGAAAAACTTGAATGGTTTGTCCAAGTCTAAACTTGAGCCAGTCATAATTAAGCCTGATAATCAAGCCTTCAAGCATGAACCTTACATCCTGTGTTCCCCACCTGTCCTTCGCCACACTCGGTATGCTTAGTTTAATGTCCACATGAAAGCTGCTGCAAAGAAATGCGGAGCGGGGGCGGGGGGGAGGCGAGGGAGGTCAGGGAGATCACGTTATGACTGAGGAAAGATTGGTTTATGAGCGTTCCACGAATCAGCAACAAGGAAGAGACCACAGCTTACGGACACAGAGAAAATAAGGAATTTCTGGGTGCCAATCCAGTGCTCTTTCCGTTACCTTTATTCGAAAGGAGTTTGAAAACCAAAGAGCTGTGTGGGTGGGTGCTCAATAAGGGGATGCTAAACCAATGACATTTCTGTGGGAAGCAGCACAGTAAGAAGGAAGAGCACAGACTTGAGAAATTTCAGTTCAAACCGTGTCTTGGCACCTAGGAACTGAGTCATCACAAGCAAGTCACCTTACCTCTGAGTGCCAGTTTGCTAGGCTTCTTTGCCTTAAAGTATATTATTCTACTTTATATCCAAGGTGAGATCTCTTACAGGCTTGCCCTCAATTCCAAGAAGAGATCTGTAATAAGTCTGTTACACTCTGTTTATTTTCATTTTAAAATTATTTATTTAAAAATAATGTACTAATTTTCTGTTATTTTAATAACATATTTGAGCTATTCTTAACACAATGACACATGGCCTTGCCTTCGTGGGACAGAGAATATAATAAACTGTAAATACAAGGCTGCCATATACAAAATACCTTTGAAAAGATATACAGGGATGAGAATCCAGAGGTAGGAACAATTAGTGGAACTCTGAAATCCCAACCTACACACTATTCGTACATAGATAAATATATGGTTGAAAATATAAACCATTCTTAACATATTTCTGAAAACTATTTCCTTTGAAAGAAGCCTTCTAAGTTATTATACCTGGATTTGATTATTAAGGAGAAAGAGAAATCCTTCATAAGGAAAACAATATAATTAAGGACCATATAAAGAAATGCAACAATGGGTATGTGTGGGGGGAACCCACAAAAATCAATAAATATCCAGGGATTGATTTAGTGTTCCATGTTAATAAAGTCTATGAGGGGAAAATGCTTAACATTTTAACACACTTGGAATTCCAGCCAACGAGGGACTTACTTTGTAAGAGTATTTGTAACTCTTCCTCTCTGAAAATCAAGATATATATATAAGAAGCTCAGATATTCCGAACTCAAATTTCTAGGTCAAACCCAAACTCAGTGGATTATAAGAATAAAAGTGATCATCACCCTGCTTTCAGGTTCCAGAGTATGGAGAAAGATATGTCTCTTTTGAGAGACAGAGAATGTAAAAACTTCCATGGTATTGAAAGCTCTCCAAGAGACAGTAAATGTTTTCTCATACAATGTTTCATTTAATCTCGTTACTGTAAATTCATTATAGAAAAACAAAGTTACAAAGTTATTCGGACCAATTACAGAACCAGCGAAACTAAACAGGAGTAACGGATTCCTGAATCGTTACCCCTGTACTTAGCAAAAGCTGAAACAAAGTTCAAAAGTTTCAAAGAAATGTATTAATAAAAATAGTTCCCTATGTTCTAGGTACAGCCCTACGTTTCCAGTACTCCTGCCTTTCTACAGTTTCCTTTAATGCCGCTTCACATTGACTTATCTAGACAGTAAAAGGCATTTAAAAGCAGTCATCTTGTTTGCCCCAGTTTGAGAATTTTAACCCAACCGTGGGCCCCACAGTGTAACCAGTTCTCGGAACCGCGCTCGCAAGGCGGACACCCCCTTTTTCCACCGGGGTCCTAGAACGTAACGTCGGTTCTAACCCAATCAACGCGCACCATTAAAGCCCCAGCCCTCGCCGCCGCAGCCCCGCCCCGTCGCGGAAGTGCGTCATGACGCTAGTGCGCCCTGTCCCCGGATGCATTTTATATCCGGATTTTCCGAGCGGTTCTGAGTTCCACGGTTCCCGACGCTGTCGGCACATGCGCGACGGCCCTGCTCCCTCTTCCTCCTCCTCCAGTGGCTTCCACCGTCCGGGCAACCACCGCCACCGCCGCCCAGGAGTCAGGAAGTTCAAGATGGCCGCCGCAGAGGCTCAGTCGCTGCGGGAACAGCCAGAGTAAGTAGTCTAGGAGCGCGGAAGGCCGGCGCCCGGGGTCGGCCGAGGGGGAACGGGCGGAGAGCTGCCCGGGCGGGCGGGCGGGAAAGTTCGGGCCCTGGGGCCGTGGCCAAACTTTGCCTCCCGCGAGGCGTCGTGGGGCGCGGGCGGGCGGCCTGCGCGCTCCGCTCGCCGGGAGGCCGCGGCTGCTGGGTGGAGGGCGGCCGGGCCTGCCGCGTCGTTGCCCCGGGAGGCGTGGGCGCGAGCGGCCTCTACAGGTCCCGAGCGCGCGGCTCCAGCGGGGGCGCGCCTGCCCGCCTGCAGTCCGCGGGGACGAGCGGGGCTCCCGGCGGCCTCGGTGCTGGCCCCCGAGCAGCAGGGCGGCGCGGGCAAGCCCTGAGACCTTCCCTCCGCAGGCGGTTCCCCCGGTGCTTCTGCTGCCCTTGTCAGTCTTAGGACCTGAAAGCAGGGAGGAGAAGGGGTGCCGGGGCCATGCTCCTTGACCACCCCAGAGCTGTAGTTTGCGGCTGGCGGGGTGCTTTTTCCTGCCACCCTGTACTCTACTCCAGCATCCACCCGATATCCCCCCTCCCCCCCCGGCCTATTACTGCAATTTGCCAACTTGCAAACTTGAGACAAAGTAAGATCAAGTCCTCGGTTTTGAGGCCTAGCATTTTTGGCCTGAGTTTATAGTGCTTCTTTGGGAGTACGAGTGGAAGAAGTGGAAATTGTTAGCTACTTCCAAACCCAAGCACTTCATGTCTGTAATTAAGCTAATATAAGGATCGATGCGGCCGAGCGAAAACAGACTTGTACATGCTGCAAGGGTGACTGTTGCTTAACTAAAAGCAGTATCTTGTTTTTCGTGTGTTTGTTAGGAAAACTCAAGAACCTAGAAGAGAATGGATTTTAAAACAGTATTCCTATAGCGACCTTTTTTTTTTGCATCCGCATTATCTGATTTGTTTCCTGACATCTTAGGAAAGAGGTAGATACATTCTCCCAGCAACTTTGGACTGAGAGAGAGGAGAAATCTTTGCCACCAGCCAGCCCATCGCTTCATTGCTGTGCGTCCAGTTTTGGACTGCTCAGTCATTTGTTTTACTCAGCTAGACAGAGATATTTACGAAGTTTTTCATTAAAGGCCTCTGAAAGCTGCTTTATTATCTTCACTTCAATTTGACTTAAAAGAGGGCAAATGGATTCCGAAGTTCTGGGTAGACTTTGCCTCTTTTTGTTTCTTCTCGAGTTCACAGTGAAGCCCAGTTCCAGTCTTCATGACAAGATGGTCCAAACCTTAGGCAACGCGGCTCATTTTTCTAGTAATCTGTTTAAAGTTCTATAGTATGTCCATTTATTTGATTTCAGGGACAGTTCAGATTCCTTTTGAGGAGTGGCTCAGCCATATTTATTTACATATTCAAATAACACTAGATTTAATAATAATACTTATTTTGGCCCCTGCAGTATGAATGACCCTGAGATAGTCTAATTCCACCTCCCCCCTCCTCGACACTTGTTTTGCATGGAATGTGTGGTCTGTGTGTGTCCCACTTTCACTTATCTGAAAATGTTTTGCCATAGAAAATGACAGTTTGCTAAGAAAGCAGGTACCCTGTTGGCTGCCCGCAGTGAATGCTGCAATGTAGTGTCTTAATAGTTTATTCTGAGGGCACACTGAGGAGTTCCCAGTTACATGGAGTCTATTCCAAGTGGAACATTTAGAAAAGGTAAACGTATAAAATAGTTTAAGCTCCCTGAAGGCCTTTTAGTGGCTTTTACATCTGTCAGTCTCTTTAGCTCAGCCTTTTTCAATGGTTTTAAGCATTTAAATTTTTATATGCCCTGACTTACTTGCACTTACCAAGACCAGGTGCTGAACAAATCTCACCTCAGTCAGTCCTTCTAACAACCCGACGGAGGTGGATACTGTTATTTCCCCCATTTTACAGATGAGGCAACGGAAGTATGGAGGAATTAAGTTAGCTTGCCCAAGGTCACAGTAAGTGACAGATGCAGGATTGAAACCCAGGCAGTCTAGTTCTAGAGCCCTGCTCCTGACTTTTGTACTGTGGTCCCTCGCTATACAGTGTGGCTCCTTTTAAAAATAGCCTTTAACCTTTGAAATCATTTTTATTTATTTCCAGTGTCCTAGAAAGGTCCATTTTCATGATATGACAGTTCTAACTCTTTGAAACTTAAT